AGCAAACCGCTGCTTATCCTTCCAAACCCATTTCCAACATCTGTTCTTCCATGATCCCCTCCCTGACCTCAGACTGAATGAGCTGTGCCTCTCTTTTATGCTCACAGTCTACGGTGGCACCTCGAATGCTGCACTATAATCTGTTTATTCATCTTCCTCCTCCACTGATCACAAACTCTGGGAGAGCAGGCTGATGTTTACCCACTTCTGTAACCTCCGTGCCTAACATTATGTAATGCCATGAAAAAATGAATGAATTCAACAAGGCAAGAAAAGTGAACATTTCCTCCTGCTACATGTCAAGCATTGTGCAAAACAGGTACCATTGCATACATGTTCATTTAATCCTTAGAGTAAACCTCCGATGGTCATTGCTTAATCAACAAATACTGCCTGAGCCCCTATTATATGCCAGGTTTGTACTGGCCAAAGGATAAAAAAGACAAGACCTCATTTCTCTAGAAATTTGCCATCGGGTAGGGAAGAGAAGACTTTCTTTTCTTATACAATTCTTTTTATTTTTTCTATTGTCTACAGTTTTACATATGTCTTCTTTCCCCCCAATTAACCCCCCCCCCTTATACAATTCTTAAAAAATTGACATTTAATTCACATAACATCAAATTCACCCACTTAAAATGTATACTTCAGTGGTTTTTAGTATATTCCCAAAGTCATGCAACCATCACCACCAGACAAGATATTTTTTATCTGTATAAACAAAGTTCTGGCCCTAGCTGGTTTGGCTCAGTGGGTCCTGGGTTCGATTTCACTCAAGGGCACATGCCTGGGTTGTGGGCTCCATCCCCAGTAGGGAGCATGCAGGAGGAAGCCAATCAATGATTCTCTCTCATCATTGATGTATCTATCTCTCCCTGTCCCTTCCTCTCTGACATTGATAAAAATATATTTTAAAATAAATAAATAAATAAAATAAGTGAAGTTCTGTGTGTATCTTGGGGAGTCAAATCAGAGGAGGAGGCAGGGGAATAAATGCATTCCAGGGGAAGGGAGCAGCAGAGCTCTGAGATGGTCCAATATATGGAAAACAAGAAAAGTGCAGGAGAGACAAAGTTTACAGGGAGGAAGTAGGCTGGGCTATTTTACAAGTGAGGAATCTGAAGCTCAGAGAGATGAACGAACTCAACTGAGGTCAGCCAATTTCTCTTTTGCCGATTCAAGCGAAGGTACCTAAAAGAGATCACCCTACCACTGAATCGTTCCCAATGAGCAAGCAGGGGCTGACACCACCCGATATTATTTTCTTCTCAAACAGTACAGCAAATGAGCTTCATTTTCCTGAACACTCCTTATATTACCCAGAAACATTGGCCATAATGACCACCATCGTTAGTTGAACAAAAACATTCCCGCCACAGTTTAGCAGATTCAGAAGGTTACGCTATCAGAAGGAGCTCTGTCCACAGACAACAACGTTTTGGTCATGAAAGTCCGAGACAAAGCCGTAATATTTCATTGGCTCATGGTAAGCTAAAATGTGCTTGCCCGGCAGGTTTCAAGTCCTCTGTATGACCATGAAGAAATGGTTCTACTTTCCTACCACTCAGTTTTCCTACCTGCAAAGTGATATTACTAGATCTTGCCCCAGCTACCTTACCACCATTCTGCCCAGAAGAATCATTGGGAAAGCAGGAGGATCTGTACTACCTCTGAAACTCTTGAGGAAAAGGTCAGTTAATACATGCTTTAAAAAGTAATATGCCTACTACAAGAATGTCCCCAAAAATCGGACCTCAGTTGAACATTTATAAAATCTTGGTTTAATAGGTTTAAATTTAGTCCAGATCAATTTCCATTTCATCTCTGGAATGGAGGTAAGAGTTAAGGGAACTCAGGAGGAAACAGAAAGAAAATAAAGTTTTGTCAGGCAGGGGAAATGACCTCTGGATTTCTGGTTTTGCATTTGGCGGCTGTCCTCTTGTTGTCCCCTACCCTCCTCTCTCTCCTAGGAGAAGAGACTGTGTGGATGCTACAACTCAGAGGTGTGGTGGGACATGTCCCCCATCATCCTCACCATCCAAACCCTTCTGCAGCACCACTGTTTACAAACCACCAGCAGGGTGAAATACACAAATTATAGCAAAGAGCAGTTATTTCTCAGGAAAAACGTTTGAAAGTGACCTGGTGAAACAGGGCAGAAGAGTTCACCAGAAGCCACCTCTGCCAAGAATCCTTAGATGTTTGCTGCCCACTAGAGAACCCATGCTAAAATGTTTGTGGTTTTGCAGAACCAAGGAGTTGACATATCTGAAAATATTCTACAACAAAAAAGTTTTACTAACCTTTCAGAGAAGAATGAGATCAATGATCCCTGCCGCTCTCTCGTCTCTCTTTTAGAACTGAATTACTGGATAGAAAACGTGCAAACATCAAGGTGACCATACCAGTTAGGGCATCAGTTCTCAACCTGTGGGTGGCAACCCCTTTGGCGGTTGAACGACCCTTTCACAGGGGTCGCCTAAGATCATCCTGCATATCAGATATTTACATTACGATTCATAACAGTAGCAACATTACAGTTACGAAGTAGCAACGAAAATAATTTTATGGTTGGGTCACAACATGAGGAACTGTATTTAAAGAGCCAGAAGGTTGAGAACCACTGAGGGCATCTGTGTTACAAATCTGATGATAGTTACTCCCTCCCCCAGTCTGCTGAAATTTATGCACACACAGCAGTTTTCATTTGTGATTCTCCGCTACATTTTAGTAGGGAAGTATCCATACCCAGCTCATCTATTAGTTTGGGGAATAATGGCCACTCCCAGCTTCTGGAGCAGTAAAATCCAATTCCTTTTCCAGAGAGAGGAAATATGTTAATATTTGAAACCAAAGCAACTGCAAATATGTAAGTGAGAATAAATACATTGTTTCCTCCTCTGGATACATAATTACTTAAGGAGTCTCCTTCCCCAAAAGAAAGTATTTTAAAGTCACAAGTTTCTGGGGGAAAGAAAAAAAAGCACCAAGTGCTTGTCCACTGTGACTCAACACACTACTCAGTTATCCTTCATACATGAAATCTTACAACAATCCTGCCAAGGGTTGGTTGTTCTATCCTCTTTTTATAGAGGAAGAAAGCTAGGCTCAAAAATGCTGGAACATTCCAGGATACACAGCTGGGGGCAGAGAGGAGGAAGATCTGAGCCCTAAGCAGATAGGCCTTGCACCTGACAGTGTTTTCCGGACAAGAATCACGTGGCAGTACTTGTGGAAAATACAAAATCCAGGGTCACAGAGTCAGTCTTTAGGGTCCAAGGAACGTGTTTTTTCTTTTTTTTTCTTTTTCTTTTCTTTTTTTTTTTTTTTTTTTAAGAACCATGCTTCCTCCACCCCTCATCAACAGGAAAGCTTGGGAAAGACAGTACCTCACAGCCCAGCCAGGAGATTCGAACCCATTACATCCCTACATTTGCGTCTTCTCCACCAAGAGACCCCTTAAAAAACAATCATATTTCTTCTGTCAAACCATCTCTCCTAAGCCCCCTCCCCCGCCCCCCAAGTCCAGATCTTGGAATCTCCTTCTGTCCCTTCACCCCTGAATCCTGCCAATTTTTTTCTTTCTTGTAATATTTCATTTCCTGGCTGGGAATGGGCTCTAACCAGCAGACTTCCAGCCGGGCCTCTGAACTCGCAGCGGTCTCCAGTCGGCCTGGCTCCTTCCCAAGCCCCTGGGCTCGGTCAGCTCTCATCCCAATCCTGCCTCTTCCGTCGGTCACGTTTGTTCCTCCGCTTGCAAGGACCTCTATCCTCTCCCGGCCCTTCCCATGTTCGGGGAACTCCTACACAGCCTGCGCGCCTCCGCTCCGGCTCTGGGACTGAACCCTGCCTCGCAGCGAGCTTCGTCCTCCTGGCCGCAGCCCCTGTCCCCTCCCCTCTCGCCACCTGGCTTCGCCCCGGCAGCCCCGGGAGCCATCGGCACTTCCCAGAATAGAGAGCAGCTGCTAACGTCAGGCTGCCGCCCGCTGCGGGGTTCCCGGCGCACCGGGTGCGGGCGGAGGGGATGTGACTCCGCTCTGGCCTTCCGTCTCCCCACCCGGGCCGGGAAACTGAGGCCCAAGGCCAGGGGAACTTCCAGGGGGTGCAGAGAACGTGAGGGCCGACCGGTCCAGAGTCCCAGTCGTCCCGACTCCTGTCCGCGATCCCTCGGCCACACGCGCCGCTGGAGAGCTGGGCGGGGAGCGGGTCTCGGAGCGAGCGCTCCGCCCGGGAACGCGCAGGGCGCCAGGCTCGACCAACTCGCCGCGAGAAAGTTGTTGTCTCCCAGCCTGCACTCGCCTCTCACCTCTGAGACACACCTTCCCGCTGGCCCTGGCACCCGCGCTCGCACATCCGGTCCACCTTGCGCACACCCCTTTCCACGCGCTCTTACGGCCCCTCTCCCTCCCACGCTTGCGGCTCCCAGCCGCTCCCCCGCGCCCCCTTGCGCACTCCCACCCGCCCCGGGGCGCGCCTTCCCCGCCCCGCCGCTCGCCGGGTCTCTGCGCCGCGCCCGCCGGGGTTCTGGCGCCCGGGAGCCCCACTCCTGGGCCGCGACCCGCTTCCGCCCGCCAGGCGCGGGGCAGAAATCCGGGGAGGCGCGCGGAGCGCTCCGAGGCGAGGCGAGGCGAGGCGAGGGGCGCACGGCGCTGGGCGGGGAGGGGGGCGCGCGCTCGCTCACTCTCGGCTGCGCACACGCCGGGACAAACTCTCTCACAGACACTAGCGGGGTGCGCTGCCGCCGCCGCCCGCCGCTGCTCCTCCTCCCGCCGCCGCCTCGAGAGGGAGAGAGGGAGGCAGAGAGAGCGCTTTGTCCGCGCGCCGCCGCCCGGCCCGGGACTCTGCCCCGAGGAGGGAGCCGCGCTGAGTCCCCGCCTCCGCCTCTGCCTCTGCCCCCGGGCGGGCCGGGCGGCCGCGGTGGGGGGAGCCAGGCTGAGGGTGGGGGTGGGTGGCGGGCGGGCGGAGGGCGGGGAGGGGGGGCGGTGGTGGAGGAGGAGGAGGAGAGACGAGGGTAGCGGAGGAGGCGAGGAGTGCCGGGTACCGGGCCGGGGGAGCCGCGGGCTCTCGGGGAAGACACGGATGATGAACAAGCTTTACATCGGGAACCTGAGCCCCGCCGTCACCGCCGACGACCTCCGGCAGCTCTTCGGGGACAGGAAGCTGCCCCTGGCGGGACAGGTCCTGCTGAAGTCCGGCTACGCCTTCGTGGACTACCCGGACCAGAACTGGGCCATCCGCGCCATCGAGACCCTCTCGGGTGAGCACTCGGCGCTGTCCCCCTCCCCCTGCCTCTCCCAGCTCCAGCCCGGACGGCGCCCGAAGAGAGGCCGAGCCCGGCGGGCGGCGCCCGGCGGGGGCTTCCGTGCCTGCACGCTCCCTTCCTCGCAACGGACCCTCAGCTCTGACCGCCGCTCCCCTCCCCCACAGCTTGGACTCACTCCTTGCCCTCCAAGCAGCAGCCCTGGGGCGACCCCTGTGCGGCTCCGAGGGTCCCCGATGCTTGCTCGCTCTCTGGAGGGCACCCTCGTTTCCCTGGCTCTCCGAGCTGCTCTCCAGAGTTCCCCCACCCCCATCCTTAGAGAGTCCCCGTCCCCCCACTTCACTGACCTTCCCGTCCACCCCCTTTGTCAGGGACCCCCCCCAAATCCTGCATCTCCTCGCTTGATCGGACCTTATCCCTTCCCGTGCCTCGTGCCCAGGACCTCCTGCCTTCTGGCGTCCCTGAGCCGCACTCTCCTTTCGAGCCCCCTCCCCACCTAGCCCCGCAGTCCCCCACTTTCGGCACCCCCTCGGCGCCACCCTGATGGCCCTCTCTGAAGTTTTGAGGCTCCCCCAGCCCCAGCTCCTGTACGACGGCACATCTCTCTCGATCCTCTCCCGAACCTCAGTTGCCTCTCGCTCGTCTCTCAAGCGCTCCTATTTTTCTCTGAATTTTTTGTCCGATTTTATTGAGAAGAACTCGAGGCGGGGGGCTTTCCGCCGCCTGCCCCCCCGCCTCCCGCTCGGCCAGAAGCACCTTTTTACGAGGTGCCCTGTCTCAACTCGGTGGGGGCCCGGGCTGAGAACCGGGAAAGAGGAGACCGGGGGGCCCCGCGAGCGCGCTGGAGCCCAGACGGGAGACGGAGAGCGACACACACCCGCGCGCGCGCGCGCACTCCCCAACTCTCCCTCTCGCACACGCACCGCCTGGAGCTGCGCTCGCCCCCAGACCACGAGCCTGCGCCCCACGAACCCGGGGACAGGCCGGAGCCCCTTCCCCACCAGCGCGCGGAGTGGGGGCGGGGCGGCGGCGAGGCCAAGGTGACACCCAGAAGCCCGCGAGGACTAGCCTCTTGCAGGAGTGGACCCCAGGGGGCTTCTGCGCGTCTTTTGGGGGGCCAAGGGGAGGACTAGGCTGGGAGGGGAGCGCAGCGGAGGCTTCGGGACCCCGGGCAGCGTAATGAAGAGGTGGGGGCCGAGGGGAACGGGGCCGCGCCAGCCCTGCAGCTTGAGTTTCAAATGAGCTCATCCTTTCAAATTGGCGCCGCTCTTTAGTAAATTTGTTTTTCCGGTAATGCCACCCACAGCTATACCTGGGGTCGGATCCTGGCTCACACCCTTCCCTTGTCGTCCCCAGAGCCGGGGCGCCCATCTTTCTTCCCACTGGGAACCAAGTTTGCCCAGCTGGAGCCGGGAGGAGACCCCTTGAGGGCGCCCGAAGGCGGAGCCCAAGCGTGGAGTTCTGTGCGTGCCCCTCCTAGACCCCCGCCGGGTTCATACAAGGAAGGTTCTGAGTGCTTTAATTTCTGTTTTAAAGGTAAAGTGGAATTGCATGGGAAAATCATGGAAGTTGATTACTCAGTCTCTAAAAAGCTCAGGTAAATATGTTTTGCTTGGTTATTTTGTGATTGGGCTTACGTATAAGTAAAAAATGCACTCCTTTTTTTAAAACGTGCTTTTGTAATTTTGTAAAAAGGCATTTGTTTTGTTATTGGATATAAGATAGTTTAGAAAGTTACATTATTTATTTTCATTCTGTAAGGTGTTTACTGGTCTTGGAAAATATCTGGTGCCTTATTGGGAGTAGTATGTGTGTGTATCGAGCACTAGCTATGTTAAAATTTGAAGGGATTGTTTAACTTGTTTGTCAAAACTTGCCTCCCATCCCTACCCCCAGCACAATGGTAACAAATGCTTGTCAAGACTTCCTGTGAGATGTTAAGAGTAAATATTTACTGTGTCAGCTACATTGCTTAACCAAACTTAGCAATTAATTAGTTTTCTTTTTTAGATAGCTTAATGTTGAATAATAAAATAATTTAGTTAGGGGTCAATATTTTGCATAGTACTATAAAGAAGTGGGTTGTTTGGATTGGATAGCAGTTAAAAGCCAGACTTTTGGAGTCACTGTGACTGCTGAATATTGCTTCTGAGCGCTTTGTTGTTGCTGTTGCTTTTAAGATATGTTTGAGGCTAACCTAATATCACTATGAAATCTATAGTTATATTTAACTGCACTGTTGTTAATGAAGGAGTAAAAAGGTTTGTGGAGATTGGAGTTCTCCTGTGATTTGCTTACATGAGAAATGTCTGTCCATGAGGAGAGAATGAACAACATCTTTGTTTTGAAGTTCATTGTGGACTTTAAATTTAGGCCCTTTATTACTTATTCTAGATTCTTTTCCCTCCAATGTGTTGTAACTTAGTTTGTATCCCATTCACATACATTTCTTCACCATTAGTCATTAAGTAGCTGAATTGGAGAGACTCTAAGTCTTTGATTTACTATCTTTAAAATCTCTGATACTCAATAATGTAATCATTTACTTGATTTTTGCCAGGATTGAATAGACTTTAAAACAAACTATCCAAATTTAATGAATGCTTAGATATTTTGTTAAAGGATTTTTAAAAATTGTGTGCACATTTACAGATATGTTTTATCTTAACTAAGCAACAAGAATATCTTTTGTTTGCAAATGATTCTGTGGCATATCAGAAAACTACTTAATACTTTTTTTAAAAAAGGTAAAAGTTGTGATTTGCAGTTTTGTGTGTAATATTAAGCTAGTTCTCTCTAGGAAAAGAGGTATTCTAAATTTGTATACTTTATTTTTTTGCTTGAGAAATCCAAGTTGTAGCTTTCTGATATATTATTTGTTGTAAGTTTAAATTATTAATCTTACAACACTTGAAAATTTGAATATATTGAACAAAGTTTGAAAGAATCACCTAAAATACTTAATTGGCTATGTTTCTACAAATGCCTACCTGTATTGGCAATATAGCTGTTTTGAGTCCTTTTTTTAGGTTATAATTTGTAAAACTCAGTGCTATTTTTAACTTTGGTGTCTCATTTCATGTTGCAATATAAGTGAAAAGCAGTTTATCTAAAGTTATTAGTATCTCTTAAAACTTCTCACAAACATACTATTTTCTTTGTTGTTCAAAAGGCAGAGGTAATTTGCTGGTAGATGGAGTGTTATTTAAATAATTTTGTGGTGTTTATATAAGAGTTCAGAAGTAAAAGCATATCCTAGATTTTTAGTATTAATTAAATAAAGAGCAATCTAGGGCTTATACAGCCCTATTAGTGCATGGTTTCTTTGAACATGTGGGCGATAGGAAATACCTAGGAGGCAGATTAAAATGTGCTGTGTATGATTCACTACACTGAAGATGTCTGACATACCAAATGTATGCATAAGCTGTTGCTGTAGAGGGTTACATCATTTCTGATTGGATGGTTTTAATCTTTTTTTCCCTTTATTAGTTTAAAATGCAGAAATTAGTTACTTGTAGCGCAGGCTAAGGGAGCGATAGCTAATGAGTGGTATGTACTGAGCTCAGACTCCTGGGATGGAGCAGCTGTGTGTTCTCATGTACAGGGCACTACCACAGTGGTGGCTTTCAAAAAGCAGGGTACTGTGACATTTGAAACCAAAGCTTTTATATTATATGGTGACTATTTTAGTGTTCTTTTGTTGCATTTCTATGAAAATTAACACATTAGGAGTAAATTTGTCAGAGTTAAGTCAGTTCTATATGTGGTTTTTGTGTTAGTTGAAGTGAAAATGTGAAGAAAACAATTCATCTTGCTTGCTTACTTAAATAATCATTCAATAATTGAGTGCTCATACTCTTTATATTGTTCTGATTTCTTTGTGTTCTCAAGAATCAGTTTTAATGTATACATTCTGAATAGATCTTTTTTAAGCCAATGATACTTTGGGAGGAGATGTTTTTATCTTAAGTTATGCAATTATTGGCATGCCATTTGCTTACCAATTGGGTCTTTGGTACATCAGTTTATATGTGCTGTTACATTAGACAGACTAGATACCATTATTTTCTAAGGTCACTCAGAAATAGAAAACTCTTTTTCCTCTTTTTGCCACATGTATTTCATTTTTATTAGATGCAAATTATTGTAATGTAAACCATATACAAACCATCTATTTCTCTTTCTAAGTTGGGTTCAGGCTCCGTTGAATAAAAATCTTTGAATCTTTTTTTCTCTACGTATTCATATTTCTTGGTAGTATATGTGAAACAAAGATTTCTCAATGAGGAACAAACTGGTAAGAGCTTTAAAGTTCTCTTGAAAGCTGTGGAAGTTTCCTTGATAGAAATTTCATTTTTGATGTTGATGAGTGTTTAGTTGTGTGTGTGTGTGTGTGTGTGTGTGTGTGTGTGTGTGTGTGTGTATAGACACTGCATAAATTGTTTTGAACTAAGACATATGCTAACTTGAATGTGCTTTGTAACTGAAGTTGAATGATTCTGTAAGAAACAAAACTTTGAAAAATGCAATTTCTGCCCACTTCTAGGAAGTAACTAATTGGTACTAGACATGCTTTCACTGAGATGGTGTGAATACTATGAGGTAGTGTAGGAAAAAGCTATGAATTTGTCTTTCATGACTTAAAAATCAGTAATTGTGTTCTCTCCAATGCAAATGAATTTGGTCTCCTATAGGAATGTTAAAGAAAACAGTATCTCAATTGTATTTTGCTTGTATGTACTACATTGTGTATAGTTGAATTAAATACCAAAAAGAAAAAAACACCCAACTTCTAGCCTTCCCTACAACAAAGGCTTTTACCACATCAATTTTTAATTCTGTAGCAACAGAAAAGATTTTAAGAGGTTAAAATCATATGGTAGCCTCTTCTATCAAGAATTTGTTGAATTGGAAATTAATGTCTGGATTTAATTATATAGGTTCCATATGTGGATATACTACATATTAAGGTAAAATTTTTATATCAAACTGTCAGGTTACTTTTGATTTGACTTTAAGTTGAATGTTTAGTTTCCCATTTTAAAAAAGACTAATAATTTTTTTTTATGTGGTTCTAGTTAATGTCATAGAGAATCACATTTTTGTGACCTTTAGGAGATAATTTATTAAAATTAAAATGGAAGCAATAAAGAAAAAAATTACTTGATAATTTATGTAATAACATAGGTTTAAAATTCTACTTTGTTTTTAAATGACTGGTCATTTGATGTTTTTACATTTAGTTAAATATTAAAAAACATTGAAATCTATAAATCAAAATAGATTTTATATACTGCTTGATTTTTCAATTTTCCAAATTCATATCAATTTTAATTTGTATTATAGCAACTTGTAAAAGTATTAAATCATTAAACACCTAAATATTCTAAAAGGTGATTGGGTGGTATGTAATACATTTGCCAAATTGTGTTTTCAAAAATAATAAATTTTTTGTAATTATGCCTTAGTATGACCAGTAAATTATGGTCTCAGAGTTTTTTTTTTATGTTAACTTGAGATTATAATTTATCTAGAGAAAATGAGAGGAGATTAGTAATAGTTGTATAACACCTTTTATACATAAAGATGTAAAGTATAATATATTTTTCAAGAAAAAATTTTAAAGGACATTAGAAAAGTTATAACTAATTGCAGGTTAAAATTAACATTTCACTATTGTTTAATTTTATGGAAGTAGCTCTGTTTTTTAAACTGGGGATGTAAATAATGTTAAAATGTGTGTAAAAGAAAAGTACTTGGGTATATTTATTAAAAGTCAAAACTATGAAAGACAGATTTCTACAGGAACTATTTATACATATTTGATACTTTTCAACTTTATAAATATTTGCTGTCGACTGCTGAATCACTCTTCCAAGTCTGCTAATGAAATCCTCAAAAGTAGATGAGCAATTGGTCAGAGTTGTTAGAGGATATTATTTAAACTTAAGTGTGTCATCTCTGATTCAGTGGGGTGTGTGCACATGGGTGTGTGTGTGTGTGTGTGTGTGTGTGTGTGTGTGTGTGTTTTGTTGGGGACAGTAGTTTCAAACAGATGGTATCTAGAGGGAAGAGAAGGAAATCTTTAATTGAGCAACAGTTACTCTGGATTTCAGTTATGAACAGGCAAATGAAAATCAATAGACGTTTGAACCTTGTGACAAAGGGAATGAAATCCAGTGATATTTGCCTTGAGTGATGCATAACTCGTAGGAGGTTGACCTTGTGGAAGCCAGGCACTGGCACCTTAGTGGCTTCTTCAGTGAGCATGCCACTGGAAGGACTATCCAATGCAAACTTTACTCTCCTTCCTTTTTGCTTGGATGTCCCTTCTCACTAATACAGTTAACAAGTGACTGTGAAGGCTTTGATGATCTGTAAGCCATTTTTAAGTGTTAGAAAATTCAAGATTTGCATATGCATATTTCTTTAGAAATTCTCTACTGGGCAAGGCAATGCATTATTTTGCAAAACAAATGTACTGTGAGAAAATCAATTTCGTTAGAAGAAACATGGGATTAAACTGGTTTCTTTGGAGGATGTTAAATTAGATATTTCAAAAAGTATTTTTAAAAATTCTATTTAAATATCACT